TTTTGTCAAAGGCTTTTTCAGCATCTAGTGAGATGATCATGTGGTTTTTCTTTTTCAGTTTGTTTATATGGTGGATTACATTGATGGTTTTTCGTATGTTGAACCATCCTTGCATCCCTGGGATGAAGCCTACTTGATCGTGGTGGATGATTTTTCTGATATATTCTTGGATTCGGTTCGCCAATATTTTATTGAGTAATTTAGCATCGATGTTCATGAGGGATATCGGTCTGTAGTTCTCTTTCTTAGTCATATCTTTGTGTGGCTTTGGTATCAAAGTGATTGTAGCCTCGTAGAAAGAGTTTGACAATATCCCATCTGCTTCTATTGTGCGGAACAGTTTGAGGAGTACTGGAATTAGCTCTTGTTTGAATTTCTGGTAGAATTTTGCAGTGAAGCCATCTGGCCCTGGGCTTTTTTTGGTTGGGAGGCTTTTGATGACTGCTTCTATTTCATTAGGGGTTATGGGTCGATTTAAACTGTTTATCTGATCTTGGTTTAATTTTGGTAAGTGATATTTATTAAGAAAACTGTCCATTTCCTTTAGATTTTCGAATTTTGTGGAGTACAGGCTTTTAAAGTATGACCTGAAGATTCTCTGGATTTCCTCAGTGTCCGTTGTTATATCCTCCCTTTTTGTTTCTGATTTTGTTAATTAGCATGCCCTCTCTCTGCCTTTTGGTTAGTTTGGCTAGAGGTTTGTCTATCTTGTTGATCTTCTTAAAGAACCAACTCTTTGTTTCATTGATTCTATGTAATGTTTTCCTAGTTTCTACTTTATTGATTTCAGCTCTCAGGTTGATTATTTCCTGGCGTCTACTCCTCCTTGGTGAGTTTGCTTCTTTTTGCTCTAATGCTTAGAAAGAGACAAGTTAGTGAGATTCAAGACTGAAAAGATTTTATGAGGCTTGTCATGGAATAAAGGGACATAAATACAAATGAGCAAAAAGAGAAAGGGGGACGAAGAGGAGGAAGAAAAGGGGAAAGAAAAGAGAATTATGGGGGTGGGCCTTCTGAATTCATCACTGGGTCTTTCATTTCTTCCTTTCTTTCATGATGTTCTGCCAGGGAAGCTCAGTCCCTGAAGCTAGAGGACTACTTGCTACCCTTTCCTGCTACTGTTTGATTAACAAAACAGAATAGAATCATAGCTAAACTAAACAAGAACACAAAGATAAAGGTGAGCAAAATACAGGAAGAAAAGAATAGTATAGGTAGAACCAAGTTTCTAAATAAATGATTATTAATTCTTAAACGTATGGAATCAAGATGAAATGAATTTCTGTGAAAACCTTAACACACACACAGACATCCAAAACTTAAGTACTTCAATGACAAGGAAATCTAAAGCAAAGCTAGCCATGCCCTAGAAGATGTGCACATAGATGGTTTTAGAGATGGATTCCACCTATTTTTAAAGAACAGTAGTTTTCAAACAGTTCCATGTCGTTTTATGAAGCTCATTTATAATCCCTATTTCCAAACCAGGTAAGAATACTGAGTTTTGTTTTTTTAAAGTTCTTATAAGTGATTTCAGTTACAAATGTAGTTAAAAAAAAAAACAACAACTATGAAATCAGTTAAGTAAATCTTAGATACATCTTACCAACATAGGAGAAAGGCTTATATGAAGCCAGTAAGGGTGGGTCAAGGTCACAAAATTCAGTTCCTCATGTTAATTTGAGTTCAGCCAGCGGCTGCTGCAATCATCAGGGAATTTCACCATTTTGAGCTCATTTCTTAACATCTATTCCCAGATAGTCTCCCTTCCTGCCTATCTGCATAGATGAACGATCCATGCCGGAATTCATCTCCTCAATCTTTCCCTGTGTCCTTTATTGGTTTTCACTGCACTTTTGGGTCTGCTTGTTTACTCTGTCAGACATTCTGAATGAACCTTACTGACCTGAGCTGATTGTTTCATTTCCTGTCCAGGCCACCCTGATCTCCGTGCTTCTCCAGGTATAATTCAGATAGAGGGGTCTTTCTCCTGGTGTTTCCTCTAAACTAAGACCCCCTCCTCAACCACCTCTATCCATTTTCTACTGTCAAGACACCATGCCTGGCAGTGTCTAATTTCAAAAGAACAATATTCAATTCATCGTTTGTAGATGTGACAGTGTCCAAGGACCTTCCTGTAACATTATTCCATAGTGGAGGTGTGGGACAAGGGTGTGAGAACAACAAAGTGAGAGGAGAATGAAGCTGATTTTGCAACAAATTCACTGAGGACAATCTACATCTGTGATGATGGCCTGAATTCATCTCAAGGACATTTAGTTCCCTTTTACTAGCCCCTACCTCCTAGCACTGCTGCACGGAGGACTAGCCTTCTAACCCATGGAATTTGGGGGATATATTGAAACCACAGCAACCTCTTTTTAATGAGGACGCCTCTGACCACATTATTCTATATCTAAAGTAAACGTCACATCGGTTTGTATGTTTTAAAATTGTAGTTACATGTATTCTAGGCACAAATTTCTATTTCCCGCAGAAACTCAGTGGTGGAGCAAAGTCGAGTCTAAGCAATGCACAGTGGAGAGCAAACACCCACCCTCCGTTCAAAGTTTTACCTGGGTGTGTGAATTTTCTCCAGGCCGAAGAAGAAGGGATTTGCTCAGGTTTGAGGGTTTTAGGCGGATGTGAGCTCTGATGAGGGATGTGTCCCAGAGAAGTTTGCTCATCGATCTCAAACTGTGTCCAATCGGTTTGGCCACAGAGCTTTATGATTTGTGACAGCAGGTGCTTGCCGCACAGCTTCCTGGGTCTGTTCTCCATTTCCTCCCAGGAGAAAGCAGCCTGTAGGAGTCCAAACCACAACAGACATGAACAGCACAGCTGCTTCATCCCTGGGCTCCACCGCAGGGCCAGGCTCGCTGCAA